TCATTACGGATCTAATGAGAGCTTTGTGGAGGGTCATTTTAATGTCAGCGCTCAAACGCTCACTTTTGAATAGGGAATATACCCTAATGAATGTTCTGAAGGCTTTGGCTTCGATCATTTCTATGTGCAATCTCAATGTAACTCTCTTATCGAAGATTACACCTAGATATTTTGCACTATTTACCAATGGAACATTTCGTCCATTTAAAGTGAGACAAGACTCAGGCGGTCGACGACTACGAGAGAAGTAGACCCCCTGAGTCTTATCTTCATTAATTTTAATATTCCAGCGCTCACACCAGGTCTCCATTGAGCTGGAGTTTTCTAACAATAAAACCCTCCTTGCGATCTGTCGCATACAGACAGGTGTCGTCCGCAAAGAGTGCCATGTGATCACCACGTGTTTGGGGGGCATCATTTATGTACAAATTGAAAAGGGAAGGGGAGAGGACTAAGCCTTGTGGCACCCCTGCTTGCATGTCCCTTGGGGTTGACATTTGGCCTTCAACCGAAACCCTGAATCGACGCTGAGAAAGAAAGGACCCAATAAGTTTGGTGAAACTGTTCGAGAATTCCAATTTTGATAACTTATACAGCAAGCCTGAATGCCACGTGGTATCAGAGGCTTTTTCGATGTCCAAGAAGACCGCGGCCGTTGACATTTTGTTGTTGAAATTAAGGGTCACATGGTCCGCCAGTCTCATACATTGCAATGTCGTGCTGTGACGTGCACGAAAACCAAACTGGCTTGCGTTGAGCAAGCCTCTTTCTTCAATATGTTTTTGTAGTAATTTCAAAATTGCTTTTTCGGATAGTTTTCCTGTCGTTGAAAGGAGGCTGATCGGACGTAGATTTTGCGGGAATTTCGGGTCTTTACCGGGTTTAGGTAAAGTTATTACTTTTGCTTCCTTCCAAGCATTTGGAAAATGAGAGAGCCGAAGACAGTGATTGAATAAATGAGTTAGGTGAACCAATGGTCGCCTTGGAAGGTGCCTGAGGCATTCATTTGGGATGCCGTCAATTCCACAGGCCTTTCTCAATTTCAAGGAATTTATCAAGTTTTGTACGTCACGTGGTCTGATCCTTTGAGGGGGGGTTATCGTCTACGGTTTCGAGCAGAGCTTGAACTCTAGCCTCCAGTCGCCGTTCATGGGTATCGTCGCGCAGTTTGTGCGGCGTGAACTGATTTTCCAAACAATCAGCAATTGCATTGGCTTTTCCCCATCTTTCCCTTCTTGCGAGACACTTAATGGTAGTACCGAAACAGAACTCTCGCCTACCAGCACCAACAACAAAAATCTTCCTCCCTTCCCACCTAATTTCTCGCCATCCACGAGAAGGAGGAGGGCAGTAACTCCCGTGGAGGTGTCTAAGAAGAGTTGCAGGTGAATCGCAACACAAGGAAGGAGAGGACCCGGATAAGTGGAGACCAACGTAAAGGGCCCAACGAAGTGAGCGGTTAAAAGTTGTCATGGTGTTTTGTTACTTGGCTTCTCTGATGACGCTGCGGCAGTAGGTCCATGAACTACTCGTCTCCTTGTAACGGATGTCAACACAGAAACTATTACTTCAAATCGCTACGAACTCTTTTTGTCAGTTCGTCTTCAGTCACTCTGGAACCCCGGAACTCTACTGAAAACGCTATTACTCACTTTTCCAGCTTACGACTGCCCACAAACGACATTTGTTGCCCCCAGTAAACCCTCGGCGCAGACTTACAGAAAACACGTCAGTTGATTCCTACCCAGCGAGTCCATTGGCGCCCTGACTGTTGACTAGCAGCGTGCTACATACATTTGTCCTATTCTTGCGTGCGCGTAGCGCGAGGTGTTTATCGAGCCGTTGCTTGGCAATGCGTTGACATGTCACATGTCAGTCGTTGTTTACATTCCCTACAGAACGGACAATACCTTGTAAGATGAGGCACCGACTAAATAATTAACATTAATATTACTACGTCTACATCACGAGCCTCCAAAACAGTTTATTATATATACACAAAATATAGAATACCCCAATTACGCTGTGGGAACACAACAAAATCACAAAAACCAACGACTGACTCCATGATGTAAAGTATCACTCGGAATAATTTTATTCTCATTTATATTATAATTTTTGTTTTATATAATCTAATTTATGGTATTTTTAAGCCAAGTATTTTAATATAATTAATATTATTGTATCCAATTTTATTAGTACTGCAGTTCAGTGGTGTATATATGTTAGCCATGTATTTGCCTGATGATGGCTTTTAATAGCCGAAACATGTAGCAGAGCCAAACTAGGCACTGACCTTAATTAATATAATTGTGTTGTGACGGTTTTAATAAAGAAATTGTATGCACAATATTTTTTTTTCCTTGGCACTACAGCCCCTGTGGGCCTAGGCCTGCCTCCATGAACTTCTCCGTTCACGTATGCACAATATGCCTCATGCAATTCGTCTCTTTGATAATAAATCCTGCAAGGAAATAATCTTCTATCTTCGCAGGAGATCTGTGTAGAATGGGGCCTACACTTAACCTTGTCAAGGCTGTGAGCGCCTTCATTCCTATGGTCGATATCATTATTTCCAGAGCACAGAATTTGTTTATTAATGAAACGTGTATGATTAATTACATCATGCGTTCTTTCCTGATATTTCCTTGATTGCTGAGACCCATGAGTTGTTGAATTGCAACGTTGTAATAGCCTAAATATGCATGAATTTCATTGACCTTCATTCTAACAAACGTACAAGCTGACTGTTTTGCATAAATAATTCCACACGAATTTGTGTTTGTATATGTTGTAACCAGGATTGTTTTTCTCTGGAATCGTCCTGTAAAAATTGGGTTCATGTATTAATATTTCTCACCCGTTCATTAGAATCATCCAGTTGGATGAGAGAGAGAGAGATTTCTAGGCTGTGCTTTAACTGAACTAAAATTGTAAGGAGAATGTGTGTTGTGGGTCATACCACCAGAGTCAATAAGTTCGTGGAATGACCTCAAAGCGTCGTACGGGAAATTACTGCCAATATGTTTTAGCAATGATTTCGGCAGCTATATCAACGTTGGCAGACTTGCATAGCGGCCAACGGCCACTATTTTGAGGGCCGATGTGGATTGGCATAAATGTACGATGGGGTACCCAAAAGAGACCGAACTAATTTTTTTGTGGGCAGAGCTTCTGTAGTACCGCGTTTTGCCGCTATGAGCGCATAGAGCTAACATTCCTGAGTCGATAAGCCGACTACCGTTGCTTCAGAAGGTAAGGACTAGTTTCGGCAGAGTTTATAGTGACAACTGTTTTGTGTGATCGTCGTTTTTGCAATGGCCCGAACACATGAAAATGTTGAAAAAATTCGTGAAATCATCAAGGAAGATCGACGATGGACCATTGAAGAAATTGTGGAGCTGTCGGGAGTGACTTGGAGCTCAGTTCAGCGAATTTTGACAGAAGATTTGGGAATGAAAAGGGTGGCTGCGAAATTCGTGCCACGACTGCTGACTGCTGAACAAAAACAAGGTCGCGTGGAAGCATGCTGTGCTTTGAAAGAAGAGTCCCGAAATGATCAAAACTTTTTTTCAGCGTTTTGCTAATGTTGCTGAGGTGAAGGGAAAAAACGACGGAGGCGCTGTCAAGCATCTCAAAAGATGAATTTATAAAATGTTCTGAAAAATGGAATAAAAGACTAGACAAGTGTATTAGTGTAAGTGGAGAGTACTTTGAAGGGGATTGAAGGTTTGTGCTTAAAATTTGAATAAATAAGTTTAAAAAAATACGTTCGGTTTCTTTTGGGTACCCCCTCGTATGTGAATACCTTGTAATATGATGCGACAATACCGCGTTCCACGAACTTAACGACTCTAGCACGTATTACGACGTTTTGAATCTCTAATCCGTTTAGCGTCGACTAGAGGTGTGATGAATGACGAAGAAATTTGGAAAGGAGCGGTCATGATATGTTTCTGCACTTCTTTTGGAGGTCTGAGTCCACTAAAACCTTAGTCAGGATTGTAGATGTCCCGGCCAAGATTCGAACCGAACACCTCAAGAATACGAGGCAAGAACTCTACAGCTAAGCTAATACTTTTGATGAAGATAATATTAGGAGAAAGAATCTTTTCTTAGAATTACATTTCATAGTGAAGGAGACGAAGATAAGATTTTTTTTAGGTGACCAGATTTTAAAGTTTAATAAGAATTATGCGTTTTGAAGTTGAGTTTTGTGACTCTTGCTTTAGGGGCTAGAAGTGGGCCTGACTCACAGTATAAGTCTTGAGGTCTTGCTGCTATGAATATTCTCCCTATGGCATTTTAACTTTCGACACAAAGTAGTGGATAACAAAGTTTCGGAAAGATTTGCTGCCTCCATCTTCCTGAGCCGTACTTTTACTCTTACTATTCAAAACTGTCTAGGAACTTTAGCTGTATTCAGAGCTATATTAATTTCACGTTTTATTCCTTTTCCAGACTTTCCGTCATGGATTCCCTTTTCAGCCCACCGCTGTGGCGTTCGATCCAGTGCAGCATCTGCTGGCTGTTGGCACGAAGTCCGGCTCCCTTAGACTGTATCCTTTCATGCATCAGCGAATTGTGTTTGTATGTGAGGACACGTGTAACCTGCATTACCTTGTAAGTATAGCTTCTTTATTTATGCTCTTATATCTTGTTCATCAGAGATCCTGAAGGGCGTGGGGCTGTGTCATTCTTATGTGTTATTTGTTTGCTCTTTCAGACACCGAGATCGCATTTGACGAGGCCCTAAGCATTCCTATGCGACCTTGTGTGCTTGTAAATGTAATTTGTCCTTTTTATGTCTTGAGAATGCAGTTGCTTGGGCTATGGTTTTATTGCGTGCCTCCTTCCCATAAAGGAACTTACTATGCGAAGGTCGTGTCTGTCGATTTGTATCTCTATTCACGCCTTAATGACCGAAGATACTCGAATGATTTCGATGAAATATTGTATTTGTTTTCTACACCAGAAGCTAGACGACTGCAGTTTTTATTTATATCGATCCGATATGACACCCTATCTTAGTGGAATTCGTATACAATTATATAAATCTCATACTATTAAGTGTACGTTCTGCAGGACATCTTGCGCATCAACTGTAGTTGTCAGGAATGTCTATAACTTCTGTGAGATAGTTCTCATTTTTATGTATTTTGACGTTTGGCTTGTTTGGGGGCAGTTATATTCGTTAACCACACACCATTTTGACGTTATTTGGCCATAGTTCACTACTATTCCACAGAACACTACTGCACTCTCTTCTGCAGTCCTCTTGTCGGTGCCAGCACAGGACTGAACTATTTGCTTCTCTCACACGAACGCTGCACACCGCTTCTAGTTCAGACTGACTGAGCTGACGGAGCTGACTGAGTGTAGTCATTCCTGAACCTTCTTGCCGTGGGAGGGGTAGAATCGAGATGCTCGCCTCTGGCACATGACCCTCATCCGCGCGCGCTCGCTCTGCGCTTTGCGATATCTGACAAAATAAACGAGTCATTTGTGGTTCATTAAAGTCTTGTCTTTTTTCTGTATTAGCTTTGTGTGTAACAGAGTTCATAAATGTATGCATACTGCTGAGGTACTATGTATTTAAGAGTTAATTCGTGTGATAAATGAAAAAAAAATAGAAGCAGTATCGCATTCATAATGACATACACATACACACATACACACATACGTCCAGCAACACAATGCACGCAGCCACGTAAGAAAGACACATCATAAGACACAGTATATACACAATTAAAACATAAGAGGAACGACTCCCATAGCGGATGAATGGCATTAAACACGAGTTTGACATACAACATGTAAGATGATAGATCTTAACAAGTTTTAATATATAAATTTTATTATTGAACAACGACGAACACACATTTTATATCATTTTATAAATGGACACTTGATGGCAGGCAGTGCAATGGTTTAACGTGATTCACACACCTGAGGATGGCAGAATGATGCCGAAACATGTAGTGTTTTTAAAATGCTATATTTTCAAAAGTATTACACGCACAAATATGATTGATATATAAAAAGAACCGTAAACTGACCAAGTTTGTATTATGTGCACCAGTCGGCAGCACGAGTTCAGTGCCTTTACAAAATTGCGACAAAGCAAGAAAAGAGTTTTTGTTTTTTGGAATATGCGAGATGTTCGTCTGTTATAGCAGTGCAATGCGCATTCAAAAGAGAGTACGGAAAAGAACCGCCATGTAAACAAAGCATTTTGCGGTGGTATCGGCAATGTTCGTCGCTGCGTAAAAAATGAACTTCGGAATCGCTGGATTGGGCGTGTTGGTGAGGATGACGTAGCTCTGTTCTCTTGGCCCCCCAGATCACCTGATCTAACGCCTTGTGACTTCTTCTTTTCGGGGTACATTAAGGACCGTGTTTACATACCCCCACGGCCAAGAACACTAGTAGAGCTGAGGGAACGCATCAATGCTGCAGTGATGACAGTTGACAGGATGATGCTACAAAATGTGTGGAACGAGCTCGACTACCGCCTGGACGTTTGTCGTGTGACCCAAGGTGCACACATAGAACATTTGTAGAGTGTGAAGAAAACTTGGTGAGTTTACGGTACTTTTTATATATCAATCATATTTGTACGTACAATGCTTTGCAAAATATAGCGTTTTAAAAACGAAAGAATCATTTATAGTAACCCTGTATTTGCAGCAGAAACACATCTAGCTGAAGGGCAGTGGATGGATGAGCAACTGAACGTGGTAAAATTACGTGTATTCCTAGTAGGAACACGAATGCCGGGAGTTTCGACCCTTAAGACATTTATTAAACACAAATCAGCAGAGTGACGACGCCTGATTTCAGGTGTCAGCAAATTTAACTTTTGCAATAAATTATGATAGTGGTATTCCGTACCTTGAAAAAATGTATCGTGGCAAGGAGATACATTTTTTTTTTTGCATGAGCTCAAGTTTATCGGAGTATAATCGTAAAAGATTTCCAAGCAGCAGAAGCGTACTTCAGTTTAGATCTGACCAAATCAAAACACAGCATCCGTAGTCTGTCTATGGTAGGAAAGAAAACTATGATTATTCAAATCATACATACAGATATATTCTTGACAACGGATATGCACACGCAACAATAGAACTTTGGAAAGCGGTGTATTCTCTGGGGTCCGCCCTGAGACAGACCAGTCCGAATTGAGGTTGTTGAGAGACTGTCGACCCCTAGCTGAGGCGTGGGTGGCGGTGGAGTCCACATTTTCGGAAGCCGTTGCATAGCAACACCTAATGAAGACGTAGAAGACTTAGCGCATGCTGTAGTGAGTAATCTAGTGTATAGGTTGGAGAGAACACCATAGTTAATTATAAAGTATGTAGATTAGTGGAACTGTTGTAGTTAGGGTTTCTAGACCCCAGTAAATCCAATTGCTAATCCGAACCCCGTGTCTAATCACTTTACATATGGTATTATTGTTGTGGCACGTACACCCGCTTCTGGGCAACTACCGCGAGGTAAGCAAATATACAGTAGGGGTTACTGAGTGACGGTTTCGCAAACAAGCATGTTTCAACGACAACAATCGGACTGCAACAATGATGAACTATGTTTTCCATGCGGTCCGTGTCTCGATGTTAGGACGGTTATTGGAAAGAGTCAGTGGAGTGGAGCGAGGTGGTTGTTGAGTTAATTAATTAGAGGACTGTTGAGTTGCAGTCGTCGTTAGCTGGTAGCTGAGGCCGGGGACCGTTCGGGAACCCAGAGGAAGGGGAACATCCGCCGTTGGAAGCCACCACTATGCAACGGCTGGGGAAGACTGAGAAAACTTTTTGTGTGTTGTAGTTACACTGCCCTTTGGAGTGTGTAATTCAGTGAGACTGTCGTAGTTATTTGTAGTTATTCATACACTTACATTATTATTATTATTATTATTATTATTATTATTATTATTA